AGATAGTAATAGCTCTAGCACTACTTAAGTGTCTAGTTTAGTTAGAAGGTAAAACTTATATATACTATTCTAGAGTTCTAGAAAGAGTTTATAAATATAATAAGTAAGATAGTATAAATTATTTAGATTATTAGATTCTTTCTTAGAATAATATAAGTAGATTATATTCTTAGTAATAGTAATTACTTTTATATAAGAACGCTTATTACTTAGATTTAGTAGATATAATATTTCTACTATTATTTCTACTTTAGTAGAAGGTAGTTAGTTTAATATAGTAAAGTCTAATATTATTAAACTTCTAACTACTAGTAATTTAGCTATATATTAGTATTAGAGTCTAAGATAATCTTTAGTTTTATAATTAACTTACTATATACTTAATAAATAGTAAGATAAAAAGAAGAGAAGAAGAAAGATAAAAATACTAAGATATAAGTAATAGTTTATAAAATACACTAGTATTACCTAGAAGATAAGATAAAATAAGATAAAGTAAAAGAAAAGGTAAAAAAGAGTATATAAAAGAAAGTAGAAAGTAAAAGAGTATAGAAAGTAAAAGAGTATAGAAAGTAAAAGAGTATAAAAAGTAAAAGAGTATAAAAAGTAAAAGAGTATAAAAAGTAAAAAAGTATAAAAAGTAAAAGAGTATAAAAGATAAGAGAGTGTAAAAGATAAAAGAGTATAAAAGATAAGAAAGTATAAAAAGTAAAAGAGTATATAAGATAAAAAGTATATAAAGTAGAAGAAAATATAAAGTATATAGATAGAAAGTATTAGATATAATCTACTTTAGAATTAGTATATATAAAGCGCGTAGATATATAGTAGCTAGACTACTATAAGGTATATAACACTACTAGAGTATCTAGAGTCTAATTTCTAAAGACGTAAAAGTAATATAATTTTAATTATAATTCTTTTAGTACTATATACTTTACTATATAATAATAATAGTAGCTTTATCTATAAGCTAAATATTTAGTTTATTAGAGTATTAGAAATAATCTACTTTAGAATTAGCGCGTATAAAGTGCGTAGACGCGTAGTAGCTATACTACTATATTATATATAATAAAGTAATAGTACGTAGATAGTAAATTCTAAAAAGGTAGAAGTAATATAATTTTAATTATAATTCTTTTAGTACTAGGTATATAGATAAGTAATTATAGTAGTAATAGAAATCTATTTAAGAGAGTAACTAGAAAGATCTTTTTTATTTATAGTAGACCTAACTTTCTAGATCTTTTACTTTAGTTTTATATATTAGTAGTTAATTTTATATAAATCTTACTATTTTACTAAATAACTATACTAAGCTATAATAAGTTATATTATATCTATTTTTAGTTTATAACTTCTATTACTTATATACTATATTATAATAAAAGTTTTATAAATTACTAGCTAGTTTTCTAAATTACTACTAGATTATATTATATTTTAACTAAAGTACTTAATAACTATACTATACTATATTAAGTTAGCTTTCTTCTACTTTTAGTTAAATACTTTTTCTACTTAGCTACTATAATTTAATATTAGTTTTATAGATTACTAGCTAGTTTTATTTATTTTTACTAGATTTTCTTAGAATTTAAGAAAAATACTTAATAATAATACTATACTATATTAAGTTAGCTTATATCTTCTTTTAGTTAGATACTTTTATTACTTTATAACTATATTATAATAAAAGTTTTATAGATTACTAGCTAGTTTTATAGATTACTACTAGATTTTATTAGATTTTAACTAAAATACTTAATAACTATACTATACTATATTAAGTTAGCTTATATTTTCTTTTAGTTAGATACTTTTCTTACTTTATAACTATATTATAATAAAAGTTTTATAGATTACTAGCTAGTTTTATAGATTACTACTATATTTTCTTAGATTTTAACTAAAATACTTAATAACTATACTAAACTATAATAGATTAGCTTATATTTTCTTTTAGTTAGATACTTTTACTACTTAGCTACTATATTATAATAAAGGTTTTATAAATTACTAGCTAGTTTTATAGATTACTAAGATTAGTAGATTATCTAAAATAATCTACTATAGATTATAGTTTATAAATATATATAGATACTATACCTTACGCTATATATAATATATTTACTTCTATCTAATTAATATAATATATTATATATACTTACTACTACTATATATATAATTATTCTAAGTTTTAATATTCTTTATCTACTTATAGTAGTAAGCGTACGTAATATATTATATTAATCTACTATAGTAGATAGTCTATAAAACACTAACTCTCTAAGCTATCTAAAGTTTTAGTATTTCTTACCTTACTTACTATAGTAATCTAACGTAATATATTACGTAAATCTACTATAGTAGATAATTATATTATCTTAAATAGCTAATTAGATTTTATAAGCTTAACTAATTAGCTGTTATACTTCTATTCTAAGTTATTTAGGTATAAGACTCTGCTTCGCAGAGAATAATAATTTATCTTCTATTTATTTCTATGCTTCTAGACGCGATACAACCGCTCTCTAACTTCGACAAGAAGTATTTTCGCGGTAGTTGTAATATTCGGGTAACATTTACTCTTTGTCTTATGTCTACTTCGTCTACCTCTAGTCTACTCTGCCTTCTAACCTTCGCGTCGCATCTACTTCCTCTCTTCGCCCGACTCCTTTACTCTTACCTTTACCTCCATGCCATCGACAGGCTTCGCCGTAACCTGATGCGTCGAGAACATCACGCCCTTCGTCTTCGCCTTTCCATTCCCCTCAACCTGCACCCCGCCCTTCTCATCCAGATCCACCTCCCCAAGCCCTTGCTTGACAAAATCAAAGTGACGTGCGACGCAAGCGATGATGATCTTCGTCTCCAGGTTCGCGAGTTCAGAACCCGTGCAGCGACGCGGGCCGCGCTCGTAGGGCCGGAAGCTGCTTTCGGGGATGTTTTTGGCGGCATCGCCGAGCCAGCGCGAGGGGTTGAAGTCGTTGCGGGTGGAGCCGAAGATCTTGGGGTGGCGCTGGATGGTGTATGCGCGTGGTGTTACGCATAGGCCGTCGATGGGGAGGGTGTCGCCGTTGGGAAGGGTAAGCATGGTGTTTGATGCGGGTGGAGCGATGCGCGCGGTCGTGCCGGGTGGGTGCAGTCGTAGGGTCTCTTTAATCAGCGCATCAGTATAGAGCAGACGGCTCAACAGTACCCCAGCGTCGGAGCCTCGTAGCGCTTTCACGACGGCGGAAGGGTGAGTGTTGGTACCAAAGACGTTGTCAAGCTCTTCGTTGAGAGCTTGCGCAGCAAAGGGATGTGTATGCAACTCGTAGAAAGCCCATTGCAGAAGGATGGATGTCGTGTCATGGCCAGCGAAGAGAAAGCCGCGTAACGTGTCGCTAGTTTGTTGGAGGATTTGGGGTGTCAGTCGGTCGATGCCGTGGAGGCTGAGGGTTGCGACGCTCTTGTTCTGCGTCTTCGTGTCGATGTCACCCGAAAGCAAAGACTTGTGCTGCTCTTTGATCTTGGCTTTGAGGATGCGGTCCAGATGCTTGTCTTTCGCGCGGATTTCACGCTCGTTGGCAGAGAAGTAGCCGCGCCATCCTACTCCCCCGAAAGGTCGCTTGTTGAAGGCTTGCGAGAGGGCGCGGTACGTGAGCAGGACTTCGGATTGCTTCCCGTCGATTTGCGCATTCAGATCCATGTCGAAGGTTACTATTCCGATGATGTCAAAGACAAGGTTCGTGGTGTATGCGTCGAGACGAAAGGTTTCGCCAGTCGCAACCTTCTGCTCCATGAGCTCGATGAAAGTCTCGGATTTGTCCAGAATGACGTCGACCAAACCAAGAAGATGGCTAGGTTGAAAGCCCGGACGTATGCGCTTGTACAACGCGTTCCATTCCTCTCCCTGTAGCTCATAGTCAGTCCCTGCACCTTCGCCTATAGCTCTACACCTGCTCACCGACTACTTACATCGGTAGTAACCAAAGACCTTGAACCAACCAGAGGTGCTATCTGCTGAATAGAAGGATGCTTAGGCATGCTAGTCCGAAACGCTTTGTTCGGCTTGGTGACTTGTTCCGCGACATCGTTATCCAGAATGAAGAGGACGGGGAACTTCTCAATCGGACGGAAGTCGACGAGTAGAACCGGAGGAAATCCAAGCTTCTCAGCTTGCTCGTACAGCATCTCATCGAAGGCGCGTCGAGGATCACCCTCGGCTGCAATCTTCTCAACCCATGGCCAATGGCCTCGAATGGGATCTGCTGGCTCGGGTTGTGGAAAGTGCGAATACTGCTTGAGATCGAGGGGCTTTGCTTTGGTGAACTTTCGCACGAGGTAGGTCAGGGCGAGTGGGATCACTGCAAGTAGCAGTAGTCTCCATCGAAGCAGGTCATTAAATCGTTGGATATTCGGCGACGCAAGCAGATCCAACAGCGCCATCTTTACCTCCAGAGATATTGGGAGAGGTCGAAGAGATTGCCACAAAACTGAGGAATGCCCCTCATCTTGCATGCAACAAACAACGCGATGAGGCCACCGGTTCTACCGCGGCAAGTCATCGTGTCAGCGGCGCATTCCACCTATTGCGTACGTCTTGGCGATGGTATGAAGCCTTTCGGAGTGTTGTCGGACATGGCAGCTGCATCGATGTGGCAGGTGATCATCTGATTAGATGCGATCAGATTAGATTAGACCGGGATCACCCGCAGCTGATTCGTTCACAGCTCCTCCACGCTGCAAGATGCGCAAAACTCTGCGCCTTGGCTGGGCGGACGACAAGCTTCGTTCAGCTAGTAAGAGTGGGATGTTGAGACTTTGCACGGTGTCGTGACATGATGCCAAGATGAAGCAATCGGCGTGGAGATGGTTGTTGAGACGTGAAGGTGAGTGAAGGTGTGGCGCAGACTTTGGTGGGGGAGGTAAGTGAGGCACGGTGCAAGCAGAACGCGTGCGCGTCATTCGGGTGTAGACTCTTTTGCTCGTCTACAGTATAGTATCTACGCCTACTCGAACACGTCGGTAGCGAACCTCTCATTCCTGAGCCCCTCAAACCACTCCCTCGCCTTCGCGTCATCCGCCTCCCGCCCCTCCTTCTCCTTCAACCGCTCCTTCGCGATCCGAATCAGCGTCTCCTGCACGCCGTCGCCCACGCCGCGCGAGCCGCATACAAAGAGCTTCGCGCCCGCCTCGAACTGCTCGATGACGTCGGCGCGATCGTGGTAGACACGGTCTTGGACGTACTTGCAGCCAAGCGACTCGTCTGCCTTGCGCGAGAAGGCGAGGCGGAGTGAGACGGCGCCCATGTCTTCCCAGCGCTTGAGTAGGTCGGCATACATGAGATCCGTGGTTGGCGAGCGGCAGCCGTAGAAGAGGATGGCGGGCGCTAGCTTGCGGCCGGCAGCGATCTGGGCGGCGCGCTCTTGGATGAAGCCGCGGAAGGGGGCGATACCGGTGCCGGCTGCCATCATGATGACAGGGACGCTCTTGGAGTCCTTGGGTAGGTGGAAGGCCTTGTGCGATGGGCGCACGCTGACATGCAGCCTGTCACCCGGCGCAAGGTTCGCGAGGTAGTTAGTAGCTACACCCACGTATTGGCCTTGACCGCTGAGGGCGGGCTGGTTGACAACAGAGTATGTGAGGGTGACGTTGTTCGGGTTCCACAGAGGCGACGACGAGATGGAGTACTGGCGCACTCGCATTGGTGGCTGCATCTTGAGGAAGACGCCGAGTGGCAGCTTAGTCGAGGGGAAACGCTCGAGGAGATCGAGAACCGACACGCGTTTGGCGGTGATCTCAGAGCTGAAGGCTTCATCCGCGAGACGCGCCAGTTCCTTCTTCTCGGCCTCGTCGCGTGTAGTTTCAACAAGCGCAAGCACATTACGCTTGCTGGCAGGTTGAGCAAGTTCTACGTACGCGCCAAGGACATCGATGGCACTGACGGGTGTATCTGTAGGAAGCGTAGTGGGGCCAGCTGAGGAGATAGTGAGCATTGAATCCCAGCTCAACCCGAAGTGTCGCATCGCGCGCTGGATGTTCTCCTTGGGGTTCAAAGGCAGGATAGCCAAGTAGTCGCCCGCTGAGTATGTCATGTCCGAGGGGAGACTGATCTCGATGTGTCTCTTCTGCCCTGCGTCTCCGCCGGAGAGTACCTCGATCTCCTCCACACGAGCCTCACGAACATCTTGACGTAGCGTAGATGACCTGGGAGCGGTGACTTCGACGTCAAGTGTTGTCTCCAACGAACCTTCGCCATCGGCCTCTGATGATCCGTACTTCTCGCGCATGGTGGGCCACAATACTTGGTCCTCCCAGGTCTCAAAGTCGGTGAAGATGTCTCCTGATGAAGCGTCGGTGCTACCCATCGAAACCATCTTAGTCGCACCTCTTTCTTCGAGTGTAGCGTCCAGGTACTTGGGGATCTTGTGGAATGTCTTCGCCCAGTCCTTGTGACCGCATCCGAAGACGGCATACGAGACATTCTCCAGCTCCTTGCCCTTTAGGGTACCGATCCAGTTGACAAAGTGTGCGGCATTATCAGTAGGCGCGCCCTCGTAGGATGCGGTGATGATGACAATGGGCTTGTCGGTGGGGATACTCTCGCGCACGGCGTCCAGAGTGTCCACAACTTCTGCGTTAAACCCATGGTTTGCGGCGTCGCCAGCAAGGCGGTTAGCAAGCGCTTCGCATGTTCCGGTGTTGGAGCCGTAGTAAATGGCCATAGGCTTGCCCTTGGTGGTCTTCTCTTTCCTGACAGCGGGTGCGCCATTCACAGGAGGAGGGTCGTTGAGCGTAGCCGATGCCAACGAGCGCTCGAGCGATGTCGCGGAGATTCCATTCCGGAGGTGGGCGCGCATGTAGAAGTCTTTGGGCTTGATCGTGAGCGTCTGCTTGATCTGGAGTTGGTACGACGCGTCTTCCATGGTGAAGTTAAAGTTCTGGAGAAGGATCGCAAGCACCAAGAGGGCCTCTTGCCAGGCGAATGGCCTTCCAATGCAGGCTCGCATGCCGTTGCCAAAGGGCTTCCAGCAGTTGGGGAACTCTTTGTTGCGTCGCTCAAACTCAGCATCAAGCATTCGCTCAGGTCGGAATTCCTCGGCATCCTCACCGTATGCGACCGGATCGCGGTGGACCATCGGGAACAACGCAACGAGAGGAACGCCCGCCTTGACTGCATACTTTCCTCCAATCGTGGTGTCTTCTTTGGCAGTCATTCCGACCGAAGGCGCGGTAGGTTGAAGACGAAGAGCCTCGCGGAGCACAGCGTTCAAGTAGGGAAGCTTCGTCAAGTGATCAACAGTAATCGGGCCCTTGCCAATCACATCATCGACTTCCTGTTGCGCCTTCTCATACGCCTGAGGGTTCTTGAGAAGATAGTAGAAGGTGAACGATAGCAAGCCCGATGTTGTCTCATGTCCAGCAATCAAGAAGGTGATCATGTTGTCAATGACGTTCTCGTCCGTCATCTTCTTGCCAGTCTTGGAGTCAACACCATTCAACATGCCGTTCAGTAAGTCTTTCTTATCAGTCGGATTCTCTCTCCTCGTCTTGATGACGTCCAGACTGGTCTTGCGGAGCAGTTCGATGTCTTTCCAGTACTTTTGCGACTCGGCGCCGTAGAACATCTGCGAGATGGGGTCTCGCCTTGCGCGGTCTCCACTGGTCTTGAGGAAGTCGGCCATGGCATCAACGAATGGATGCATCTTTTGGTAGTAGTAGGAGTTGAAACGATAGTCCATGGCGCAAAGGGCGATGGTGTCGAGAGTCAGCCGGGTGAAGTCATCCGTAACATGTATGGTGTGCTCAGGGCCGTGTCTTGCCCACTTCATGACGAGTTGCGACGCAATGTCGTGCATCTCGTTGAACATGTTGCGAATGGCGAGCGGGCCGAGTTGAGGAAGCAGAACGCGATGCGCAATACCCCAGTTCTCTTCTTGTGGTCCGTAGGATGTGAACAAACCATCGTGAACACCGTTGCGGACCTGTTCTAGTGATGCCGCTATAATTTTCGAGAACCGCTCCTCGTTACAGATCTCGTCCATGTGAGCTTGGTTTGCGATAACGACACGCTCGCCGCCAAGGTAGAACTTCCATATCGGGCCTGCACTCATTAGTTCTCGGCTCGCAGATTCGCAGCCAAACTCAGTCCTGTGCAGGAAGCGAATAGCAAGGTGGGTATGCAAAAAGAGAACCACTAACCGTATTTCAGTGTCAGATTACACATAGACTGTATGGGGTTTGTGGCATCGATGTCTGTGATGTTGCCAACGATGGGCAGGCCAGGAGGGCCGGGGATAGGTTCAAGCTCCACCATGTCGAGGGATAAATAGTAAAAGGTAGAAGGTAAAAGTCCAAGAAATCAAAGTAAACGCTCGTTGATTGTTGAAGTCGATGTGTTGACCGTTCGTCGTGGTCGGACAGCCCGCCCTATCTATAAAGTATCAGAAGAAATTCAGTCATGCCACGTCGTTTGCATAATGACGCACTGAAACGAACTGGACTCTTTCGCGCGCTCCGAATGCTACCTCCTGGACGCGTTGGGACCACTTCGCTGCTTGTCGAGCAAGATGCCTCGGTCGTCGTTGCGGAATGCGAGCACGCTGATTTGTCGGTTCCGTTTTGGGCAAGTCGCCGTGTCGGAGGTTTTCACGTCGGGGGCGGGTGAATTGCGTCGGCCGAGCTTGAGGCTGAAGCACATGCAAAGCCGCTGGATGCACGAGATGAGATCTTTATAGGCCTCGGACAAGATATGGAGGATTGACGGGGCTCGAAGGTGCAGCTTGCGAGTCTCGTTCTCGTTCTCGTTCATGTGCAAGGACTGGAGGACCGACTTGGCATTGGGACCGCTTTCATTGGCTTGCGGGGACAAAGCGGTGGAATGATGCGCGTGGACCAAAGTCATCCGCTGGCATTCCGGCGATCAGGGTTTACGAGGGTTGACTACAACTTCGCAATGAGGACTTTATTGATCTCGTGAGGACGGTCTTGGGGTGGTGATCTTTCATAATCGAGCATTCATCGTATCTAGGTATCATACAGCAAATCGAGCGGTAGAGGTTGTTGCACTACGAGACAACCTCACCTTGTCGAATCTTCGAATCTTCCAAAAGCAAATACACTAATCATCGAGGTGGTTGGCGCATTCCTCAAGTAAATGGTTTGGAATCGTCATGTCGCATGCTTTGGCGCACCATCTACATGCGCATCACCAGCGCAGCGAAAGCTCCCAACGCCACGCCTGGTGTTGACAGCGACCACCTCCCAGCACCAGCCTGCATATTCTCGAACGGGCTACCGTTGCCGTTGGCCGGCGGAGGATCTGTCTCTTCCGACCCCGATGCCGACGATGTCTGCGTAAAGGAGGCGCCTGGTGTCGGCACCGGAGCGGAAGGCTGGGCAGAGGGGCTAGGCGATGAGGTGCCCGTAGACATGGGCGTGCCACCAGCCACAGTCGACGTGACGATGCTGCCGGTACTAATCTGCGTCGGGCCCATGACTATAGGCACGATTATCTGCAGCGTGTTGCCGTCGCCATCGGTCGACGTCTTTGTTATAGTCGTGCTGATTGCGCTGGTCAGATCAGCGCCAGCGTCGTCATGGTCGGCGGTTTGGGTCGTGGTGGTGGTGGGCTTGGGTGCGGCGGGCGCAGGCTTGGTTGTTGGGGCTGCGTGCGTGGGTTTCGGAGGGTCGGCTGCGGCGGTGCTCGACACAGCAGCGTAGGCGTCTTCCACCACCTCAGCTGGTATCGTGCAGCCGATGGCATCGCAGTAGAGTTCTAGCGGTCCGAGGACGAGTTCGATGTCCGATTCGTCGGCTTTGCATGAGGATACGGCGCACGCGACTGCGCTGGAGAGGTACGAGGTGCTGCTTTCGCTGGTTTGACATATGCCTGGAGCCACATCAGTCCGTGGTGCGGTGAAGTGCGATAGTGTTGAACTCACATTTCCTATAACTGCACCCGTCGTCTGTGTTCCCGAAGCAGTCCCGCCAACACTGCGGGAGACTCTGCAGCCACCAGTCGCGATGCGCAGCAACACCCCGCGCGAAGACGTGCGCGAACAACAGCCATGTCCCAATAGACGCCCACATGATCATACAGTTCGTAACGAGCGACGGAGGTGAGTGTAGTGAGGCAAGACAACCTCAGGACTGCCGCCGCAGCCTTAAGGAGACGTCCATCCCTCTGCGCCTACCACTCTCGCGTCTGTACTCGGTAATGTCGCATGGCGAGTGGCGTCTGCACCCTTTCCACATCACCGTCAGCTGGAGCCAACCAGTCGCGTGGCATGGATCGTCGCCGTCATCGTGTTTCCCCCGCTTGTGTTTCAGGTCGGGTGCACATCCAGGCGAGGGGGGAACTCTGCTCGCCTGGCTTCTTACTATCGTCGCAGACACGCATTGCAATGTCATGCCTTCTGATCACTTTTGACGATTATCACTATACACAAGAGGTAACTACGACAGAGTTTCCAGCCACGCAAGATTTGCGGCGTTATCGATCGCGGCATGATATGCGTCGAGGCTGACGGTGGCGACTTCTGCACCGTTCTTTTTACTCGTATCGACGACTCCAGCTGTCAATATATCGAAAAGGTGTCGTTGCGGAGCTGGAGAGTTGATCATTTACCACATGGTATTTAATCTCATGTACAGCAAGTTCCTATGCGGGAATACGACATCTCTGGCTAGGCCAACGCTCGCTGCGTTGTCCCTGATAGTGTGCGCGTAGCTAAAGTCAAAGTAGGATCACGGGCCCCTTGGTGTTCAGTCATCACAAACGTCAACACTGTCTACTGAGATATCGACCGCAATGGTTGATCAGGCCTGATACTTGCGACTTGAACAAGCGCTCCGACGGGTTTCATGCAAACAGGGAGAAGAGGCAGGTCTGCGGGTGTGTACTTCAAGTCGCATAGCAGACATTGCTCTTTGAGCAAAAAGCAGACCTGTAATGGCAGTTTTGTGTCGTATTCCATCGCGCCGTTCATGCGACAGACTCAAATATACCCCTGTGTTACCAGAATCGTAGTGACATTGCATCCTGTTGACTTCGATGTCTCTCGCGCATATCTTCGATTCTATGTCGTTGCTATGTCACTAGACTTTTAGCTCTTAGCAATCCATTCGATGCAGCTACATCACCTCATCCCTTCGTCTTCAGCCTCTTCATCACGAAATCCGGAGGCGCCGGTCTGCTCGCCTTCTTAAACACCTCTTCCCACAAGTCATCGAGTTTACCCTTCATCTGCAGATATTCTTCCTGCCTCACCCAAACAGCATACTCAATCACTCTCAAAAACGTTCTCTCACCTCCCAGCAGCGCATATCTGCTCAGCTGAAGCGGCACAGCCCAATGCTCCAAATTCACCCAGTCGTGAACCAGGAACTTGTACGCGGTATGCACCGCTACCGCAACAAGCGTTGCATCACTCATCTCTGGTCGATAACATGATCTGGAAGTGGGATAGGGTATAGGGAGAGTGATGAGTTCGCTTCCATCCTCATCTGAGATAGCGTATTCGTACTTACCCTCGTCTTCACGCTGGGACGTAGAAGAAGACGCTATACGGTAGCGGAGCAGGAGGCATAAGGCGAGGGGGATGGTATCGGGGCTAGCGTGGTCAGCTTTGTCAAAGTCCATGTTGAGGAATTGGAGTAGGCCTTGGCACACGGTTGTCATGAATTGCGTGGGGCGTAGAGTGTCGCTATTGGGGTTGATGTGTTGGGTTTTGCCGCTGTCCGTTGACGATGGACGGAGCGTAGACTCTACGACGTCGAGTGGGGCATGTAGGATGAATGTGCTGAGACGAGCAAGGAAAGACGATGTGTAAGGCTGGGGCGGAACGAGATAGTAGTCGACGGTGTTAGAAGACAGTTGTGGAGCCATGTCGATCCAGGCGCGGGTGTCTTGTTAGCAAAGGCTGTCAGTCAACTACGCGCACATGGGGAAGAGAAAGAGAGTAGAATGAAACGCATTTCTTGAGGGCATACGCGATTCGTATTGTGAAAGCAGGGTCGTGAATCTGCACTATGGCAATAGTTACTATTGACTACGGTGTATCAAGCCTGCTGGCTGTGACAATGTTCTCACAACGCATATTGGCTCTGTGCTGTCTCAATGTCGCACGAGGGAGCGCTTGCAAGACACCTAATCATAATCAGATCGTAATGAGATCGTCGCTACGTCCACTTTCGATTACCAGAGTAGCTTCAAGCCGTCAAAAGAGAACGTCATCCTGATCCTCAAGCAACATCTCCCACACGATCTCGAACCTACCCACGAACTCCTTGAAGTCAGCCTCATGTACCCACGTCCTAAAGTCCAGGTCCTTCAAGAACGCAATCTCAGCGCCTTGAATGTCTGCGTATTGTCTACCCATGACGTCGGCCCACGCCTTTGGCGACACCCTACTGTCGCAAAGGTTCCCATACGCAGTCTTGATAGCTGCAGCAAGCCTAAGACTCTCCTCGTGCGTCTGCGAGTGGCACACCCCATCGCGCGTCAAGACCCTGAACTTCAGAAGGAGAAAGAGGGCACACGGAATGACGTCCTTACTCACCGCCCATCTTTGACTTCCGTTTTTTAGCCAGTTTGATACGCGCGTGCACGTTCTGGTCATCAGGTAGCCGGGCTCGATTCGTAGATCCGATGGGTTGATAAGGGTGAGGAGTGCTCTGAGGTCGGCTTCAGTTGCGGCGGACATGATGTTGTATAAGAGATCCGGGGGTACACTAGTGATGAAGCCTGCGAGTTTGGTCAAGTCCTCGTCTAAGTAGTATTGCGTTATGTCTGCGGTGGGCACACTGCCTGGATTTGTACGCGGAGTAAATGGAGGCGAGGTCCGCATGGTTGGCATTTCCTCAGTTTGGTAGTAACTTGTCGCTGTGTGGTAAGACTGTACAATACGTGAATGAACCCGGAGAAGAGAACTTATTACGTGAATTGGGGATTGTCTACTCTACTCTAGTACTTTGGAAGAACCTTGTAGCGCTTGAAGTCATTGTATATCGAACCAGTCCGCGAGTGTACACAGTGCATCCTGGTTCATTCGTTCGTCGAACGAGACGCCGATGGTCATTAGTGGAATGGCCGAGCCCTATAGCTATCTGTGCCTGTCTTTCTCCTTGTCGCTCGCTGTAATTCTATGAAGACACTCTTTGGATTCACCGGTTTGCTGGATCGCGTACCACAAAGGGAGGATTGGCGCCTTGATGTTGCGCTCGTACCTCGGCCTGCATGGTGCTGGTTGATGGTGGTGAAAGTGCTGTCTGCTTTGGGCTAGATCTCCCGGCGCTCCGCAGCTTCTTTCCCCGCATGCTGCACCTGCCCGTCCTCCACTCTCCAATGGCTGTCCCGCTGCCACCTGCTTCCAACCTCCACGCCATCCTCCTCGTCACCAAGTCGCGGTCACTCGGCCCCCGACTCGTCTTCCACTACCCACCGCTGTCACCGTCAGCAGCCGCACTCGCCGCCGCGAAAGACCCGGCCTGGTTTCGGCACGACACGTCAACAGCCAGCGTCGATTCGCGCAGCTCCGATAGCGAATGGGACAGCAGCACCGACTCGGACGACGATAATGACATCGAGATAGGCAGTCGAACCAGCGGCGGTCGCGCATCGGGGAGGACCCTGACCGGCCGCGTGAGCGACAAGTCCAAGCTGGGATCGGGGCTATGGGGCAAGCAGGAGACCATCGACGAGGAAGATGCGGACGACGACAACGACCAGGACGGTAATGGGCATCGGGGCAAGGGCGGAGACCACGACTGGGACACCGTGCTGGGCTTCAAGATGGATGCGCTGGAGAAGATGTTGAGCCCGAGCAAAGAATACAACAAGAGGCGCTTCGAGCTTGGCGTTGAGAGCATCGTCTTTCTCGGCGCACCTATGTTTGTAAGGGACGACGGGCTCTGGAAGAAGGCGAAGCGGAAGAAGAAGAAGCGTTCAGATCAACAGAAGCTCGAAGATGGCGATCTGGTCAAAAATCTCACGAGCGCAAGCGACGACGACGATGCGAATTCACTCGAACCGTCGACCGAACCCGTCCCAGGATTCGAGCCAGGCTATGGCCATGACTCCATGTCCAGTGGACCGTCGGAGGCTGGATCAGATGCACGCAGCAACTCGACGAGCCTTGACATCAACAACCCGGACATGACCATGTTCAACGTCGTCTTCGTGCTGAACCCGCCCGCGCTGGAATACCAACAACGCGTCAAGGAGATGTACGAAAACGTCACGCGCAAGTATGCAAAAGCACTCAAGTACGAAGAAGCGCGGTTCCAGTACGTGTGGAAGGAATCCAAGCGCATCATCGACATCAAGCAGCGCGCAAAAGAGACGAACGAATCGCTCACTGCGACATGGCGCAAGATTGTCAGCACGTCGCCGCTGGCCAAATCTATTGCTATAATGTTCGATGCGATATCGCACGACAAGATAGCCCACATCCACTTCGATGCGACGTTCAACACATCCTTCCAGATCCCACAGGCCGATTCCACTCCCTACCTCCCCACCGCCATCGAGCCCCAGATGCCAGGTCTATGGCTCACGACCTCGAACGTCATACTTGAAGACGACGATGCGCCTATGACACAGCATGCCGCCTTGCTGCTTTTGGAGGATGCCGAAGTGCTGATCAAAGACCTGGGCGGTGATACCGGTGGCAACGCCGCAGCCATCGCATTCTACATACGCAACATCATACCCACCAAGTCGCTGCTCAAGATCTCGAAGAAACACAACATATCCGCGCACGATATGGAGTACATAGCAAGCCATCTTGTCTACTGGCGGCGGGCACGTCTCGTCGCTCCGCTATCGCCACGCGACACATACATCGTCAGTCCAAACGCCGACATGACTGTTCTTCCGGCTGCGATCTCGGTATATGCGCAGCGCTTCCCCACGTTGCCTACGCTGCCTAAAGTACTGAGCATGCTCTCCGGTACACCTCGGCCGTACAGGAACTTCATTCCCACCGCCGAACATCGCGAAGCCTACATGGAGATTCTAGCGTGGCTCATGCGCGGCGGCTGGGTGACACAGCTGCGCACATTCGCTTGGGTGCGCGTAACGCCTGAGATCAAAGCGCAAGTCGCAGCAGAGATGGAGCGCGAAGAGCGTATCAAGAAAGCTGAGGAGGCGCGCAGAGAGTTAATGAGCGACAACGACTCGGTGGCGGATAGTCTTCTCTCCGACAAGCGAAGCAGCTTGCTTTCGCTAAACTCCGCGAGAACTTCATCGCCTTTGCGCCGCACGCGCAGGGATGCCGATGAGGAGATGGAGAGCAGCACGATACTGAGCCCACGACTCGGATCGACCGCTATGTCGCGTAGCGTGTCTGCGCGCACGAGTTCGGATGCCGGGAGTACGAGCAGTCAACGCACAACCATTGCGCTTACGCCATCACAGAGAGCGGAGTCGCCATCTCATCTCGGGCTTCGAGATGTTAAGCCCCATCGTCCGTCGCCTCTGCATCTCAAGCCAACCTCCCCATCTCCATCGCGCAACTCGATAGTCTCGCCCACATCTCCGGTAGAGAAGCTGGCCCCACCCGACCCATCGTCCTTCGCACCCACCACCATCCTATCTCCGCAAAAAGCATCGTCGATAGAAGCGCGATGGCTCGATAAGATCGCCCAAACGTTCGAAGAGACGGCAATCATCTCGACGAATCCCAGTCCGCCGAAACACGCAGATGGCGCGCTGGGTGGCGTAACCGGTAAAGAGCTGCGAGAGAGCTGGCCGATGCTGCTCAGGCATCTGGATGGTAAGCATGCGATCGAGGATGTGTCGGCTAGAGAGGGCATCAAGCGGAAGCGGGTCGCGGTGCTGTTTAATGCGGTCAAGGAGAGAGGCTGGCTGGTTATTGCGCGGCATTGGTGAGTTGGTGGATGATGCGGTGGTGATGCTTGATTCGATACCCATGTGTTGGTTGGTTCTGAACCGTAGTCCTCCCAACCCACTTCATTCCACAGACGAGCCAACATCCCAGGGCCTACGTTGACGTGGGGCTCGCTACTTCGCGCGTTTTTATCTTGATGTAGGCTGCAGCCTACATCAGTTCAAGGAAAAAAGTGGACACCCTGGAGCCTACGTTGACGTTGGCGTATCTACTTCGCATGATTTCAACTTGATGTAGGCTGCACGCCTCTCTCTACTTTGTTTCTTGCATAATGCGAACCCTCTGCTTCTTTCGCGCAACAACATGCTCGCCTGAACCATAGTTCTGAGATTCATATCCACCGGTAACATTAGTATCGCGCGTAATCCCATAGTCGAGCCTCGAGTACTTCCCTTTGGAAGCAACACCACGCAAAGCTCAACCATGGCTTGGCTTTCTGTGGAAGTTTCTGCTGCTATGCGAATACTTCATATATAACACATCCCTCCTCTATCTTCTCTCTTACTATCTTACTATCTACGAAAGCAAAGTCTACTCCATAACAGCTTTCCGCACCACTTCAAAGTCAAACTACTACCAAACCAAACCACCACCAAAATGCGCGGCCTCTTCATCACCCTCCCCTTGGCCCTAGCCTCCGTTGCCTTCGCCGGCCCCATTTCGGTCCCGACTCCTGCGGCGCCGTCAACCCCTGACTTTACGGCGATGCCGCGCATGACCGCCGCCTCCGTTGTCGTCGCCGCCGCCCCGGCTCCCACCACCACCGCCGCCGCCCCCATCGTCACCGCAACCCACACGACGCTCATGACGATGACGATGGCGTCCGACCTCGAGCCCCGCAAGCACAAGAACAACCACCACCAGCATGACAAGGACCACTACGGCTACGGCGGCTGTTCCGAGTACTGGGACGGGAGGCTGATTACGAATTGTCCGAGTGTGATTGCTACTACGTGAGTCCTTCCCTACCTGTCATCCAAGCCGAAATAGGTTTTGGTCTATGGGTTTTGGTCATTAGATTTAGAAGTTAACG